TGCGCTCTGAGGTTATGCAAATTACTTTCAACTGTCAAAATTCTATTGTTTTTAACGCGTGACTTTCTCCATGTTCTCTGTCACGTCCAAGGCTCCGAATTTAGAGAGGTTAACAAGCGAAATGGGTTTAGATAAGGGATATTTCGATAGAATTTACGGAACGTTTCTTCTCTGGTTATGCTAGATCAAGAATAAAATTGTGACGACAATTTTACTTGTAGTTTTGGAGTAAAAACGCATGCCATTCATAAAATAGTGCGCAAACAAAAATTCAACAACAACATTTTGTCTTATTCAACAAAATAAATCGGAGTTGTATTTTACAAACGAGCTACAGAAGACGCTAGACCGAAGATAAAGAACAAGACTGTTTCAAATCATTAACAATTAGACTTGTCTGTCGCTAGTGATTTTATAAGTTAGATGCTGATAGAACAAGAGACATCAAGTCTTTGTTTTGATCTTAGGGAAACATACATTATGGCGCAAAATTGTTCGATCGTGCCGAATCACTGCGACGTCGAGAAAAACAGAACCAAGGATCATTGGTATACTACTCCACTATAAGCAGTCCGTTGATAAAAAGGGAAAGTAAACTCTGCTATTTTCCAAAAATATGCTCGAACACAAACAGTTCAAAAACATGGCATTTACAGGATCTAACTCGTACTAAGCTCTCTAAGTCCGATGAGAACAATCTGGACGAGCAAACGGTCGTGTTTATCTTTGCCGTGAATCCAGATAAATACAAGAAGAAATCTAGCCGAATTTTATAATGTTTCCTTCGCCAGGAGTTTAGTTTGGTCACGAAACTCATGGCCTCATGCTCTTGTAATCGTTTAACGGCCGCCGCCAACTCGATAGCCGCTTCGTTATATGTCCACATACTTTGAGCACAAGAAAAATCCAAGAGCCAGCAACCTCTAAAATAACTCAATAGAAAGGTTCTGTGAACTATAGGGAAGATTCCATCAAAGATTCCATCACTCATTGTGGAGTAGCCGTCATTAACTCTGCCATTACAACGGCCGCTGATAAGAGGACACAGTAAATCCACGTAAAAACATTCCACAGGCAAACAATTTCAAAATAACGCCACAAAATAATTCTGTAATCACCATAGAACGATTCTTAATACAAAACTTCGCTAACTATCGAACGATGGCTGAGATTTAGACAGATAAAAACAGCCTTCCAAAATCTCCGACAGAACTTGAAAAAGACGGGCCGACTTTTTCAAGTTTGTTTTCATTGGCTCGCGCATGCGTGTGGGGTGACATAGCCCCTTTAAATACGCCGCAGATTACAAACCTGGGGGGGTAGGGGTACTCCGTGGATATTCTTGGTGGGGGTGTGCCGCCCGGTTCTCCAAATCCCCTATTTCAGACCAAAAAACGTCATTTTTCACACCCGTTTTCAGACTAGATGGCCTTTAGGCAGAAATTATGTCATCATTGCTTAGATTAGAGAGCAAAAGAAAAAAATTCTTCAAAGATTTTGAATTCGCATATTTTTCTTTCTTACTTACTAAGAGGAATTGAAACGATAAATACGTTCATACACTCACATAGTTCCTTCCAAAACAATACCTGATTCCAGACAAAATTGGGCGAAGTTTATACCGTTTTCAGGCCAAAAGGGCCTAAAAACAATACCCTTTGGGGCGGCATAGACCTGTATAGATTATATAAGGGAGTACTCCCCAGGATTTCAAAATCCTGTCATAAACAAGCCTTTTATTTCAAGAAATCTAAAATGAAATCTGGCACAGTTTGATAGCGTCAACTGAGGCTCTGAAAAAGGGTTCATCCTCTCTTGGTTTAAGAATAGTTGAGAATTAATCTTCAGATGCGTAATTGAGTTTTTTTCTAGCCCTAGTAGAATTGCTACCTTTCTATAAAGGCTTGAAAAACTAAAGCTCTTAGGCAAATGTCGCACTGATGTTGCAAAGTCCTAACTGCTGCTAGTCCTGAGTGTGTAACATCGTTATCAGGTTAACTGTCAAATTTGTCAACTTCACTCATTTTAGGCGCGCTTTTTATAGGGCCTAGAACGTTTCTAGCGACGGTGATAGATTATCAGGAATTAATTGGTCCTTTTCAAAAGTTGAAAAAACACTATGGATTTAGAAGGGTCTATCGTCGACCAATTATACAACCTACCACTTGTTGAAGCTGTTGCATCTCTTAATTTTGACAGCACAGTCTGTATCCCACGTGATTCCTGAGTTGATAAAGTCTGCAAGTAACATTTATTCACATCACGACTAGCCTGAGAAAACACCCGACAGTGATGGCGCGAAAAGTCGGCTGTTTTCTTAGGCTTTCATCTCGACTGAAGTGTTCACAAATATGAGAATAGAGAGAAGTGTGAAGTCACGTTGACATGGCAACCAAACTTCTGGACCTCAACAATTTTTCTTGACAGTGACGGACATTTGCATTGTCGAATAATGGCAGAAACGTATGCGCTACCGTTTTGTTCCTGCATGAATTCAACCATGCAAAGGAAAATCATACATGTCAATTTTGTAGTTTTTTTCTTCCATATTTGCAGGACCACGGTTTGATGAGATCCAGAAATCGTGCTACCATAGCAACGTGACGTAACGACTTTTCCTGTCTACAAGCAAACAAGACAAGGAAATGTCATATTTATAGACTGACGCATTATCTGAGTGTCTAAACAGATAATGGTTTTCTACACGGGCCATAGGCTCCTCATCCTATATCCCATGCTATACAACTTACAAATAAATACAGCCAATCAGAAAACCAGTATTTTCTTCGGTATGCAACGGTCAAATTCTTGGCACAAAGTACTAAGGCCGATTTGCAGCGCTGGTGGCACACTCAATTGTAATGGGTCGGAGGCCCATTCCTGTAAACGGGGGGTGGGGGGGGGGGGGGGGCCCGGGGGAACCCTTCCCCACAAATTAAGGTCTTTTTGGGCAGGAAAAAAGGGGGGCCGGGTTTGCCCACCGCGGGTGGTTTTGAGTCCCTTCCCTGTTCTCCCAGCTCAGTTTTTTTTTGGTTTTTGGGTCCCCGGTTTTTCGGTTTTTTTTTTTCCAATCTTTCTAATTTTTTGTTCTATACTCGCATCCACCCACTCCTTGCCCTACTATGAGCATAACAAAAATCCAAAAAAATACAAATACAGAAGGAGAGACGCTTCTGTGTGGGGTGAGGGCGGCGTGTGAGCTCGCTGGGAGGGGGGGGGGGGGGGGGGGTGGGGGCGGTGGGAGATGTGTGGGGGGTGGGGGGGGGGGGGGGGGGGGGGGGGGGGGGGGGGGGGGGGGGGGGGGGTGGGTCCGTGGGTAACCTTTCCCACATAATTAAGTCTTCTTAGGTCAGCAAAGATGGCGGACGTGTTTTGCCTACTGCGTGTGATATGAGTTCCGTTCACTGTCTTACAGCTTCAGTTTTCTTTAGTTTTTGGTGTCCCCGTGTGTCCGTTTATGTCTCTACTAATCTTACTAATATTTGGATGCTTAATATTTACTTATTTATTTTGTTTTGTATACTTTTGTACGAAGTTAATTCGTGATAAATATGTGTACCAATGTATCTGTTGTGCCTCTTTCCTGACTTACATTTTCAATTATTATAATAACGGTCACCCACCTAGTTTGGCTTTTTAGTTATTTTGGGTGCCTCTCTACTGTATGACTGTGTTGTTTATTGCATAATCCCGCATAATGTAGGCAACAGCTCTCAAATTCTGCGTAACTCTCTAAAATCTGGATTTTTGACCATATTTGGGTGTAAGTTAGACCCAATATTTGGGCAGTGACGTCATGATCTTGTTTTTACAATAACTCGTGGTTCGAAATTGGGTGATCCCGTGTGCAGCTGTTCGTTTTCTGTTCAAGAGGCCTTAACAGGTAAGCAATCTTTAATACGTTGTTTGAAAGGGCTATTAGTGCTCTGGTTTGCTTTATATATTGAGTTTAAAGCAGCAGCTGATCAAGGAATAGGGTTTTACGCTACAATTTTTGTCAGAACCAGCTTGTTCTTCGCAGCTCGATTTACATTGAGGTAGCGTGTTCGCTTTTCGACTCAGAACCAAAGTTTTCAATGTTATCTTTTTTCAACGTTATTTTACTTTTTTTTGTAAATTAATGAATTTTATGCGGTAGCTAATCAAGGAATTGCTTGTATTCTCAAAACGTTTATCAGAACCAGCGTAATCTTCGCAGTTCGATTTACATTGAGCCGGTCCTCACCTCCAGTGAGGAATGCGAATGGAATGCTTTAAGGACCTTTTGTTTTTAAGAAGTTATTTTTACCCGCTTGGAGAGATTTTTGTCAACCAGCGTGTCCTTTTGCAGCTGGATTTACCTCGAAGACAGCCCTAAACTCCCTTGAGGAATGCAACGAATTTGCGGACCATCATCATGAATCATTTTGCCTTTCGATAGACTCCCTGTCCTGTGCCAAGCGCTCATTAGATCTTTGTATTTTATTCAAGGCTATATTTTTATACCTCTGATACATTCCGCCCCATTCTTGCGCTTTTCACACATTTTACTTACACCAATTTTTTCATATGTATATTGTAATTACCATGAGAATATTTTTTTTTCTTATGCCGTTGATCGGCACCAAGCTCGGAATTCAGTTTTAATTTTTAATTTTAGCAGTCAAAGGCCTCACTTGAACTACACTTTACTTTCTAAAGTTTATAGTTTTGAATTTCCTTAACAGGCAAGTGCTAACTTGCTCCAATTTACCAACAAAGCTTCTCACGACTCATTAATTATCCATAAAGAAAATACAAGGGAAATTAATGTTTAATGAGTGTTTGGATATCAGACGAAAAATTGCTATTTTTTCTATTTTTCCTTCTAAAATCAATTTTTTTAGAAGTACTATCAAGCATCACCAGATAAAACACCTAGAAGTTCGTCAAATATACTCCGCTGCTGGGCGTCGTACTTTCAATCTTCTCCGTGTTTCATGTAATATATCAAACATGAGATGCAGTGTTTCATCTGGTGATGAAACACTGTGTCGAATGTTTGGTATTTCTTCTCAAACAAAATCATTTTTGAAGGAAAAATTAAGGATGCAAAAATGAGCAGTTTTTCATCTGATATCCAAACACCCATTAAACATTTATTTCCTTTGAATTTTCTTTATGAATTATTAATGAGTTTGAGAACTGATGATGAAACACTGCGTCTCATTCTTGATATATTACTTCAAGACATGATGTTATTTTTTTGGAGAAGTGAAACTGGCCTAGAATGTACAGAAGTTTTTTTTTCTAAAGTTGTGCGCCATCCTTTTGTATAGTAGCCTCCCACGCAGGCGATTTTAGGGGAGTTCGTATTTCGTCCCTCCCCACAAACGCCTGCTCAACCGAAGACAACATTCCTTTCCCAAGCTTAGCCAATCACGTTGTACTTTCCAAATTCTGGAAAGTTCACCTTGACCGCAGGGTAACCCGATGATTACGCGATCTGCATGAACCTTTGAGAAACCTTCATGACCTCTAATTCATGTTAGACTCATAGCGGCAAAAGCAAGATTTAATCAGATTTTAAAATTCTCCGTGCACTGCATAACCTTAGCGAAGAAAAGAAAAGAAAGAAAATGGTAACTCTAGGGTCACGTTCTGGGTCACGTTTTTACACTATCACGAGCTTATGAGTCGTGTTTAGCCTGTCAACACTTTATTTAAAAACCGTTGATTGGTCGCTTACCACGCAAATGCAACAATGGGAAAGGAATGTTGTCCTCTGTTGAGCAGGCGTTTGTGGGGAGGGAAGAAATACGAGCTCCCCTAAAAATGCCTGCGTGGGAGGCTATTTGTATAGCGGAATCCTCCAAAATTATTTAACAAATCGCGAAGATCTGGATCGGCACATTCCAGAATTCAACTCGGTGGCACTTGCCGGAAGGTACCCCTAGTTAATAATTATTTTTTTTGCAAATTATTTTAGTTGTCTGTCTACCGTGTAGAAATAAACTGTTGTTGCATGTTAGATTAAATTTGTCCCCAAAAAGTAGGGGGCGGGGCGGGGGCTACCTGGTCCTCCTACTCAAATGGCACCATAGAGTAAAGGCCTGATTATTCTGTCTTCACTGATTAAAAACTCAAACAAAAGTCGCATTAAAGGAGCTGTGTCACGAAATTCACCCAAATTAGGAAATTACAAAATGCCCGTTAAATTAAGAGAAACATAAAAAGAACAGCTTAAAACTCTAAAGGAAGGTTAGAATAACATAACAGAAACAAGAGATGCCACGGATGGGCAAAACTGAAGAAGATTGAAATGGATTGAAATTAGGGTTTTTGAAAACTGTTCAGCCTAACAGTCAGTTTTCAAAATTGACCCCTGCTGCTTGCAACTTCAAAAATAATGCTCAGGAGACATATTTAATTGTCTCGGATCTCTGATTTTGTCATTTACATGTAATTTCTTTGCTTACTTTAAGTTCCATAGCGACAGAGGGCAAGTAACTGGCAAAATTAAACAAAATGAACTGGACTGCCGTGACACAGCCCCTTTAACCAGTGAAGTCAGGATGATCTAATAAGCTATATTGACTTTTACCACTGCATCTGTGACCACAACCAAAGGAATTTATCTGCCAACATCTAGTGTATCGGCTGTTTCCCCGATCACACCAGTATCTGTTGTTCAGTTGGTATATCCCATAATCCTTTGATCCGTCGCTGTTCGTATTGACAGCATCATATCGGAAGTTACTCTCGTGTTTTACCAAACAAAGCCCTAAGGACGAAAAAAGTACGAGGCTAATAAGTAGCGGAACTTATAATTATGAAATAGTTGTGGCCTGAACTGAAAAAGCGCACACGGAAACGCATGGTTCAATATCGCGCATGCTAAGCAAAAAATATTAATTTGTTAAATGATATTTATATTAGTAGGAACATTTTTTTCATATTGCTGCAGCAAGATAAGATATTATATTTATAACGGCTTTCCCTTAAAAATTAGTCCCAGATAAGGCCCCTTTTTATTTGAGATTATTTCTTGAAGCAGTGATTTTTAAAAAAAAAAACTCTACTTACAATCTCTGATTTCCGAGTCACCTACATTCGCAGCTTTCAGCGACCTGACCACATCACATTTCGTCTTCGTTCCTGCCTGTGCCATTCCACCCAAAGCCAACGTTCCCAGCACAAAAATATAGATCCTCAGAGTCTTCATCTAGCTATAGTTTGATATGGTATTTGAGAAAATTAATACTCTAAACGGCAAAAAGATGAAATAGTTTAAAAGCATATGAAGAAAGATCCGGCTGAAAGGCGCTGTTTTCTACCAAGCAGCTAGCAATGACAAATTGCTGCCAATTTAATACTACTTAACGAAAAACCGAAATTGCCCGATCCCGGACAAATATAATGCAGGCCCTGACCTCTCAAAAGACGTTCTCAATTTTCTGCAACTTAAATGTTTTGTTTTGTTTCGTTTTGTTATTTCTGTTTTTTTTTTTTCAAAAATGTAAATTTACTTTGAGTTATCAGGACCAGACTGAACTAGACTGAAACATTTCTTACTCCTATAAATTTATAATTTGCTTCCTGGAAGTTGAAAGTTTCCAAGTAATGGGTTGATAGTTTGCACGGTGGAAACGGCTATTTGGAAGCGAGAACAAATTGAAATACTTTACCTTACAAATCGGAGGAACTCGAAACTAACTTAAGTCTTTCTCAGATGTGTTGCTGTAGAATCCTTAGTCGAGTGAAATGTCTTCGCTTACGAACGTGCCTTTTATTTCAGAATAGTGGGCGTGGCTAAAGAAATACTGTACACATATGAAACGGGCCTGGAAGCACGTTTTTGTTATCAATTTCAAAGGCCTCAACCTCGGCAATATCAAAAAAATATTGATTACGGCCATAATAAAACCTTAAAAAAACAAAAAGCACTAATGATTTGGCCTTATATTTTGTTGGCCTCCCAAAACCAAACAACCTTTTAAAACTATTAATATAGTATCCGAACCAAACTCTTTTGAGCGACTTTTATCCAACTATTATTCGAGGCTGGTCTCACTAAGTTACTCCTGACTGCCTGCTTACAAACCGCCTTTTGTATTAAGTGGTCATTAACCACTGACGATGAAGTTGTGGGTTTGACGAGGGTTTCATTAACGCTTCAGAGTTCGAAGCACAAGTTAATAAGCATTTAAAGTACTCATGGTATTAGATCATGATATTAACTCAGAAGTCTCTACTCTGTTGAGTTTCTTTAAAATAGACGAAAACATCAGCTCCTCCTTAAACCATAGTATAATGCCTAATTTCAAATTCTTCAACTAATAATGTATTGGTACATAATCAACAGTTTGGACTCAAATTTTTTTTAAGAGATACAAATCTTTGATTCATAACTCCTCAGCGGTCCTTGAAGTACTATTTAGAGATGCTTAATTTGCGTACTTTTAGATTGAAATTGTGCTGATCAGCACGCAAACCGCCCCTAGCTTTATGCCTTTCTCGGACAAAAAATAATGAAAATAAAAAATCTTCTTTCATGTGATACAAGCTTGCCCCTTTTATGGTGTTTATTAGGGAGTATATTGAACAATGTTTGCATTTCATTAATTCAATTATCTGCATAAAAATATATTTAGACATACTTGTTCTAATTTAAAACGTGAGCTTTTTGATAAGAATATTGCACCTACGAGATTTTTAGAATGCGCTTAGGGTATTCCTATAGAGCTGAGATTTATTAAGAAATATTTTTTGCCTTTTGATGGAAAATAAATTAAAATGCAATAAAACAACAACGTAAATGCTCTTTGAGTTTTATGAGGGGCACAGTCCCCCCCGGCCCTAACAAGGCCCAGAAACAAAACTAAAGCCCAAGCAAAAAGCAAAAATTGGCTTAAGCGCTAAACAAACTTAAGCTTCGGTAATACGGGCAAGAAAACCGTGCAAATTGTTTTTAATTACAACAGTACAAGTGCTGCAAAACGAGTTGACGAGCAATGTTGCGCGTTTTACCAGTCACGCCCAAACCTTTAAACAAACTGGCTTTAAGTGGGTGGTAAAACGGTAACATCGCTCTTTAACTCGTTTTGCAGCAATGCAAGACAAATTGCATGTACGTTTTATGTTGCGTCAGAGATAGTTGAGCGAGCGAAACGCGAGCGCGCCCTTCGCGAGAAAGCGAGACGGCCATGCATTTTAATTCTAAAAGTTGCAAAAAGCTTTCGATAAACTTTCTTTCGAGGCCTTGAATTAATTAGGGTTGAAGTGATGTAGTCACGTGAAACGTGACATGACGTCAAATAATATTTAAAAGAAATTCAGAATGTGGTGGGAATGGTTGATTACAACTAAGTTTGAACCATGTGTAAATGGCCGGAACAGAGAGAATCTTTAATTTCTAAAAAAAGATATTAACAGGTGAAAAGTGTCACGTGACCTATTTTGTTTAATTGGCATCTCGCCACCCCATTTTTAGTTTTCGTTTCTTTCCTGGACTCGACCATAAGTGGTCACGTGACACAGATATCTGACTTCTTACGTTACAGGAAAATTAAGGTTACCGATTTTTCCTAGGTTGCCAAATTTTGGAAGGTTCTGATAACTTTTCACAAAGTTATGATCACTGTAAGATTTTATGCAAACTAGCCTTAGGCCATGCCTTAACATGCTTGAAATCAAGCAATAACATTTTTCTCATCGCAATAAATATTTATATTACTTCACTTTCGGAATGACTGCACTTCCATAAAAAAATAGGGAAAACAAACGTACAAAAGTAAGGTATATTTTACCCTCTATCAGAAACGCCAATTTATTACTCCAAACAAAGGAAATTCGCGACCATTTCGCTAATCGTTGGTCATGTGACCATGATTAACACACATAGCAAAAAGATCTCAGGAAGTACTTTTGGGAAAGAATTAATTTTGTTCTAGGAGTCCTGGCGAGAGATACTAAGTTCATTTCTTTATTTTAACTTTAAAACAAATGTGCAAGCAAAACTACCCTTTTTCAACAGACTGGCTTTGTAAAATTCATGTTATATAGTACATGAAAATTGACACCTATCATAAACTTCATAAACTATCTCTACCTTATATTATTTTATAACAGTCTGAGGGTAACGTACTCGAAAGCCCACGTACTACTGCACTGTCTTAATGATAGGAATGTAATTATGATCTTCCTGTCCAGTGTTATTAAAATTGTATGGCCTTAAATGTATTTTAGCAGTGACTGAAGTCATAATCAGGGTTAGTGGTGAGATCGCCTTGACAGTGTACTTGCCATGCACGCCTGTGTAAAGAGAAATTAAAAAAAAACACATATTAAGGACTTTGATAAGTACTAAGTGTTTCGGCATTATACTCTGTTTTGTTAAAGCTACAAGAATAAAAAGAATGGTAAACGCGCAGCGTGCAAATATCGAGTTATGGATGCATGCGAAAGATTGCTAAGTATCGGACATGCGCAAGAGTTGCCCGAAGCATTGCCGAAAACACCTCTAGCTTCTTGAGTGCTAAATAGTAAATCTCCCAAAGTAGGAAAAAATAGTTGTCTTTGAAGCTATAGGTCTAACATCAAAGTGGTGATAGATTTTTGCTGACTCTTTTGTCCACTTAAATTGGATCTGGAAAGCAAGGTCCCGATCCCGAGTGCATCCCCGCTCCTTTTTCACGAGAATCCCGAACTTCTGTCACCGCTATTCCGAATGTTATTTTCCCGATCGCGCATCCCTTGCTCAAATTGGGGCGAAACCCTCTTTCCTCGCGCTGCACGAAAAATTGGATTTACACAAATTTGCTCAGTGTAAATATGGTGCAAAAAAGTGCAAACGAGGAGGAAATCGGAGGCAAAGTTGGCAAATCAGGCATTGGCATACCAGTTTACATGGGGTTGTAAATTCGTTGGCAAATGCGGTATTTACTATCTCTGGCCTTGATTTAACCTTACTGCGCACTTTTTTGCACCATATTTGCACTGAATAAATTTGGTGAAAATCAAATTTTTCGTGCAGTGGTAGGGTCGCAGTCTAATCCCGTATCCCGTTAATATTTCTCGAATCTCGCACTGTATTTTGGTCACATCCCGGATCGCGGGAATACGCTTCCAGACCAAGAGGGGATCCTCTCTGGCACAAACCCTGCGCTACCTACCACTTGGAGAAGCTGTTACAGTTCTTGATTTTCACAGCACAGTCTGTGTCCCAAGCAATAGCTGAATTGGTAAAATCTGCAACAAAAAAAATGTTTTAACTGAATAACGAAACTGAGACCAGGACAAGTCAGACGACAACGAGATTTCCTCAATACTAAGTAGTGCGCGCGCGTGATCATGATCTAGCTGAATTGGTAAAGACTGCAGGTAAAAAAAAATTAACTGAATGAAAAAACTGAGAAAAGGACAACTAGACGAAAGGAGATTTTCTCGGGGCACATGATCATGATCCAGCCTCATTTTGGCGGGAAGCGTTGATAGGCGAATTCATCGTGATGTTATTGTTTACATTTTTGCTCATTAACATACGAAGTAATCCATAGATGACTTCGTCGTAACAGTATACGAATTAGATTCAAAAGTTGAAAGAGCTGGTCAACTTGAGCAGTTTGTGCAAGGCTTGAACGGTTTTGAACTTATTGAACTTTTTAGACATCTGGGAGGAAAAATCTGGGAAGGGGGAACTGAAAAATCCCTCCGGTCTGAATAGGGTTAATGAGTTAACTCTCACGACTGCATTTGTAACCACAACCAAAGGTATTTATCTGCCAACAACTACTGTATTTCGTATCTCCCTGGTCGCACCAGTAATTGTCATTCAGCTGATATATCCCATAATCTTTTGATCCGTCACTGTTCTCGTGGACGATATCATATTGGAACCCACTTTCGTGGTTTACCAAACAAAGCCCTAAGAACGAAAAAAAATATGCTATTAACTAACATTACTAATAAGTTAAATTTGCAATAGTTTTGTGTTAAGTGGTGTTTTATGAAAAATTTTCTCATCCGTGGGGACAATTTTCTATAAGAAATATTGTTTCTTGCCTGTCTTCAGAAGGAGCAGTTCTTTAGATACTGTTGCAAACAGATAGCAAAGTAGTTAGGCAATATATTTAAAAGTCGTTTGCCTAAAATTAGCCCTGGCTACCGCCTCTTTCTATAAACATTCTTTGCATTCCACATTAGGAGAACGCAACCTTAACTCGACCCGCGAGAAGACTGGGTGCAAGCAGCGCGAACGAGACTCAATTGTAAAGTCTCGAAACGGACATACATGTTTGCCAATTCCCTTCTGCGAACTGCAGATTGGAAAGCAACTGTGGGAAATCTAAAATAAGGTTCGTTAATATACATGTTGTGCTAAGAGGAAAATTTCATTTCAGACTAAGGATTACCCGAAAAAATGTTTTGTTGTGTTCAGTTTGTTAAGGGAACGTATTTCACTAGGGTGATATTGATTAAAATAGCTACAAAACTGACTCAAAAACATTCAAGATACTACATTGATACTTCGGTCTTGATATAGAATAAGAAAGAAAGAAAGAGACTCTTTCAAACCCATCTTCCTGATTAAACCCTTCGCCAATTCTCTGATCCACTTTTTGTGAAAACTGCAATTTTCGGCGAAGGTAAACATTCGATCGTGCTCACTAATCCCCGATTACTGCTAGTTTTATAGATTGAATTCGCTTACAATCTCTCATGTCCGAGTTCGGTACATTCTGAATTCTCAACGCCTGACCACATCACATTTCGTCTTCGTTCCTACGTTTGCCATTTCACCCAATGCCAACGTTCCCAGTAGAAAAACATAGATCCTCAGGGTCGTCATCTTGTTAAATAGTTTTATATGGTTAACGTTGTATCAGAAAACACGGCTGAATAATTAACAATTATTCCTGGAGCCCCAATGGGCTCTGATTCAATAGCCCATGAGGCCGAAGGCCGAATACCGAATGGGCTATTGACTCAGAGGCCATGAGGGCGAGAGGAATAATTGTTTTAGTAAAATCCAACTAGTTGGTCAAAAATATCGAGAATAAAAAAAATTTAGCAAGTTGAAGCTAGACTTTAATCCTTTTTTGCCGCCAAAAAGCCCGCGCTTTTCGCTTCTAGTGGGCTATAACATATAGCCTAGTAGTAGCTCAACCAATCAGAACGCAGCATTGGTAATAGACCACCAGCTGGATTTTACTAATAATCATAATACTTTAGTTATCCTCCCATTAGTGGGCTTTGCAGGGACAATTAAACAAATAATTTAAATTGAAAATCAGAAAAATATACTAAAAGGCAAACGAGATTTCATAATAAAATTAATTGGCTAGAAAAAAAAATACGGTTTAGTAAACTTTCTTTTACAACTTATGGTTAAGAAAATTTCCATTTTTTAATGTCTTTAGGTTTATTACTTGGAATATTTTAAGGTAATTGTCAAAACTATAATTTAGGTGATCGATCACGCATGAAGCTAATCGAGTGTATTCTTATCCGTAGAAGTACTCGTTATATAAACAGAAAAATTTATCTTTTTCAAGTGTGAGGTTTCATCAGCCACAGCTATACAGCATTTTCAATAACACCATATTTTGAAGACCGCAGTGTCACAGCGACTGCAGTAATAATCATTTTTCGGTCAAAAACATTCTAAATTAGACTATTAACCGTTATTGAATCCTTCCTTAAAGAAGCTAAGAAGCAAGTCAAATACGGAGAATTGAAGTCACTCTTATTCAAACTGCAAAGTTGGATACAATTACTGACTCAGTTCGGCTCACAGTTAGATAAGAGCAAAGTTAACTAAATTAAATATTAATATCTTTTATTAGTTCTTACTTACTTTTCAGCTCGCGCTATGGTGGAATGAGTGCCTCTTACTTTAAACCTACTTCTTAGGCAATGTGACTTGTTGTAAATAATCAGTTGATGCCAATATACACTTAGGCATATTATTTGCAGAACCTGAATAAACAGTTGATTTGTTGGTTAAACATTAAGACGTGATGTGTAGCATTCACGCCGTAGAGAACATACTAGTTTGAATTCAAAAAGGTTAGAGACTTAAAGTTCATAATTAACTGCGTAGAATACAGTCAGCTAAAAAATCTTTTTAATTAGTCATATTGCATGCATTTTTGAATTTCTGTTATTGAAAAAAGTGCATGGTCAGGGGCGGATCAGGGATTTTTTTTTTAGGAGGGGGTGCACTCGTCTCCTGCTCTACTTCAACACCAATAAACCACATAGTTTTTTTTTTTTTTTTTTTGCAGAATACCAGTTGTATTAGAAAAACGCAGGTCATCTCAGGGCGGAAGGAGGGGGGGGGGGCGCACTCCCTGCACCCTCCCCCTAGATCCGCCCCTGATGTTACATGTACATTCTACATCCAGTGCTTGATGCCATGCATTTTCCGGTAGATCACTTACATCAATGGCATATAACATCGTAATGATATACTTTGGGTAAATCGGGAAAATATTACTCGTTTAAACATGTATGTCACAGTGAGTTTAGTAACAAACCATTATAATTGTAAATAATCTAATAGCTGTACTATTAACCCAACTAATAAAAATGCGAGGAAAGAGAACTGATTAATCACAACAACCAAAAAGTAAAAAACAGCAACCACAAAAGTGGAGAATTCCATGCTTTTTCCAGGCGGTGAAAATGAGTTGTATTAGTTTCCCCCTTAACGTAAGTAAACTTAAAACGACGGCTGAGTGACTCTTTCCTTAAAAATTCTATACCAAAAAGGAGCTGAAAAGAAACGTCTTTTCCTTTACTATAAAAGACGCTTCCGTCAGAAAGCATATTCAAGGACATAGGAACTGAAAGATCATATCAGGAGAAAAGATAAACCAGATTTCACTATCGGCTTTTCAGATATGGTATGAAAAAAGGCGCAAATCTGCTGTAGCTATGATTAACAAGTCTAATCTATGAACCTAATACGTCAAGGGCATAGCTTAGAATAGGCCCATCATTGAAGAGGCAAGTAATTATAAATTTTCACCAAAAAGTCAAATACGTAAGGGGAGAAAACTTTCGCACTATCACGAGTAAAACCACAAGTCTAACGAGAATACAGGTCCGCAATTTCTGGTGAGATCATGATCTTTGTTGCCGAGAAAAAATGGGCAGCACGAACGGTTGGCCTTTCCTTTTTTAATTTGCCTTACGCCACCAAAACTGTATTGCTAGCTGTGCTAGTGTCCGTACTCTTATTGAGACGGTTTGCCCAAGAAAAATTTGGACAAAACCACAACTCAATAATGCAAAACGTCCACTTCCGGTTGATGTGCGTCGCTCAAAACGTTTCTCAATCTTAAGCTCCCTACTCTTTCTTGTTGTTTGGCCATCCAGTTTAGTGCCAGTAAAGAGAGCTTCAGACTAGACAATAGCTACCAGTACATGGCCAGATTTAATATACGAGTTAGACTTTCCAAATATATATCTGTTTTAAAATGATTTTAGCAATTACGACGAAAATGTAATGGCAACGGAGTTCTCAGCCTTTTTCCTGATTACGTTGAAGTTGAAAAGTCAAAAAGCACTCTCGGGCTCAATTGAGGCTAAAGGAGTCATTTTGTAATTAAAAAAAAAAAATGAAAAGAGGGATAATAGTTGCCTATTAATCATCTCAAGAATGAGTCTGGATTACAAGTGGAACAGATGTTCAGTCGTAGACCAGTGATTAACTTTAGACTCCGGCGATTAGTAATCGGCTCCTGAATCATTCAGGATAGATTAGTCAGTAAAATGATCGATGCTCTATCATTAAGACTAATATTCCGTAGCATTCTTTTGGTTTTACATTATCTTCTCCCATCCCATCTGTTCTGTTCCGATCTGTTCTAGTGTCCTTCAGAGCCGTTTTTAGGGTCATCCCGCAACGCTCCTCCCGAGGAGCGTTGCGGGACGACCCCTATGACAGCCGCTAAGGAGAACAGATCAGTGTTCATTCGCCACACTGAAATAAAAAAGGTCAAGCTTTTGCAAGAAACAAACTCCGAACTCGTGCCGTCTTAAAGTTTGCGCCTTTTCGTTAGCGTGGGACAACAATAGACTCATGAGATACTTTGACGGTTAAATAACCTAAGATCAGGTCCAATTTTAGCGGTTCTCATACATTCTCTCTACGGCTATCGCTAAAAGTTCGCCTTGCCCGCCGGAGTGTCATTTACAAAGCGAAAATTGAGCCTGATCTCAAAGATTTTACTGTACGTAAAAATTTGTAAGTTGAACTTACAAATTTTTACCTGGCGAAAAAATCTAGTGGTAAACGAAAGTCCACAGAAGTTTTTTATTTTTAAGAGGCTGTCAGATTACACAGCAAATAACTTACCAACTTCTCAGGCAAGTTAAGGCATGGGTTGAAAGGCTAAAAAGACCCCCCACAGAGAATGCAAAAATCCTTTTTAATGACGTAGAAGGTTCCAAATACCAGGGTCCCACAAAGATATAATAAGATATATCTCACTAAAATAATTTTGGAAAATTCATCCCAAGCATCACGTGACATTCCTTGGACCATGACGTCACAAAACCTGTTTTCTCAAACCGGACAAGGTTGTTAAACTTCAGCCTACAAATACTTGTCATCATATTGTCAGCGGAAACTGTCTGGATTGTCAATTAGCCTTGCAAGGTAAATTAAAGCATTTTTATTAAGAATTATTTTAGTCTTTTATAAGTCACGTAACCTGATTCTCTTTATTTCGTAATTCTTGCTCCACTTAGGCATACATACAGGGCTATTTCATAATATCCAGGCCATAGGTAAAACACTGGTCCCTAAGAATATTTGCTGCTCTTTCATTTCCTTTCCCCCGTTATAATAATTTGAACCGACTTCGAACGTTAACGATCATTTACAGGTCACGTGACTAATAGTTCAACAATGAATATATGTCACATATTGTTAAGGCCACCGAGCTAAAACTGTTTGCCAAGTTTCATGACGACTGATCAAAACAATCCGTTTCAAACGCCACCTCGCCAAATTTTGCAAATTATGAGGTGACCCATGCCTGAGTTCAATTAATCCAGAACTTTATAACCCTTATAGTGACTGGAACAAGGAAGTTTGATCACATTATCCCGTGTTAAAAGAGAATGGTTGTGATTCACAAATGTTTGCATGACTATTGACGCCCTGAAGCCAGTCGGTCTAGTAAAATTGCTTTTGGAATCCGATGTCTATAAAATTATAGAGCAAGACATTATGCGAACTTAAAACCACCTTTTTTCTAGCTAAGTGTTTGCAGACCAAAGATCGTTCTGATTAACTTATGTCGCTATAGTCTTCGTTCTGGAAGTTGCATTTGAGATGTGGAAATCGCTTTTTAAATGACCTGCTCATGATCTGGTGCTTGTCATCTCCCCTCCACCCCTTATTTGCCACAAAGAAAACTCCGAGTCTGAGCAGCGCACGATACACTTTCGAATTTGATCACACCGAACTTCGGCGAGCGTGTGCTTCTTTGGAAACAATAGATCTTCGCACTCTCGAATTCGGATTAACGTCGACCCGATGTCCGTCTAGTACGAGTGAGCGAGTGACTAATTTGCATATCCTAGTCCCTGCAATAACTTGTGGTACGCTCGAGCGTCCCCGCGAGTTAAAAAGCAAACATGCATTAAGTTAAAAACCAGTTAAAAACACAATAAAAGTTACAAGTAATTAGAAGTAATAAGAATAACCAAGATATATGAAAAGCAGAACCGTTTAAAAATTAAAATTACAATAAAAGTTACAAGTAATAATCGTCCAAGGCTTTCCTAAGTAAAACTTTAGATTTAATGTTTCTTATTATTCCTTCAAAATATTTCCCCATTTCTGATTGGCTAAAATCACACGCATAATTCACCATAACCAGTTACTGATGACCAAATTTGGAAGAATTTTGTGTTTAACTAGGAAATGACGTAAAAAATGCAGCGTTAATGCACCGTTAACTGAGAAGACCTGGGGACGAGGTTGAGTTGTTTTGGTTGTGAAAAAAAAAATGGCGGACATTTCTACTTGTTTCAAGAGTAAGAACTAGGCGAAATTATAGCTAAAAACATGGCAAGAACAGCAAGAACACAACTCGAAGGGCGACATCTGCTATTTGAAGAATATTTGCGGAGCTGAAAAACCCTAAACGTGCACTATCGAAGGTGAACTTAACATCGATGGAGGTAAGCATGTTTTAGCTTTGTATTTAAACTAGGGATTATTTTGAATGAATAATAAAACAATTATTGAATTCGGCTTTCGTATCATATGAAGAATTATGGAGATCTCGGAGCTCGGCCTACGGCCTCGAAGGATAACACCCTCCTCGATCTCCATAGTTCTTCATAAGATACTCAGCCTAATTCATTAATTGTTAAATTAAACTTAAAGGCAAGGAATTAAAAATCAAGGCACCTAAGAGATAAAAACTACGGCGCGCAAAATCCAGTTTGACCTTGGGCAGTTTTGCTGCTTTCCCATTGTTTCTAGTGTTTAAAGCATTATGATGAAATCGTTGAAAATAGCTCCTAAATGGAAAACATGCAGTTCCTCCTTTAAGGCGGTCAAATACAAATCATGAGGTTACAAATATACAAGGTCAACAGTTTGGACTTAAACTTTCAAAGAGATACAAAGCTCTGTTTCGACTCCTCAGAGACCCCTAAAGTACAATAAGAATTAAAAAACATTGATCTGTCCTGCCTTGTAGTTCCGCGAACAGGGGTCTTTTTTGCATGAGCATGCGCGACCGCTGAACAAGCGATGTGCATGGAGGCTCACCACATGGTTCGCCTTCATCAAAATGGCGCGTCTCAAAGCTATCATAGCGATAATTTTACTCGTTGGTCTTGGCGAATGTGCTCGTGATTTAACAAAATGTGTAGTTTGCAAAAAAAACTCTAACAAAAGCGAAGTAGACCGGCTTTAACATACACGAGCTACTATCAAATTTCAGCTCCCCACTTGACCTGGACAACAGCGCGCGTATATGTAGTGCCTGGAGCTAGATTGCGCTGACCTCATCAAAGTATAAACAAAGTGCAGAAACGTTTGTTAATGCAAGTAAACACTTTCAATTTTCTTTGTTTTGAAATGGGAAAGGAAGAGAAATATTAAAAAAAAAACATAGCAAATTTCAGCGAGTGGGTTCGAAGTGCGCGAAAGCCGATTTTTCCCAGCACTTTAAAGCTACAAAATTAAGAGCACACGAGAAGTAGATTAGTCACCTGGTGAGATGTTGGTGGTAGTCACTCTGTATGTCTCGAACAATAAAAAAAATGAATATCAATGAGACACAGTAAAAACTGCATTCAATAGGACTGAAATTAAAGTCCAATCTTGTGACCGATTTTGATGAAACAAACGGTTAGGTTTCCCAAGAAATACAGTAAACATGTGATGCCGACCAAAAGTTAAATATCATTAGAACATTTAAGTTCGGCCAAAAGCAAATTCCTGTAAAAGATGCGTTACAATGTTAGTCCACGCAAAAACAAGAAGTTCTACAATTTTCGAATAAACAAACTTTGTATCGCTAAAATACTTAAGGCAAAAACTTTCTATTCCAACTGAAAACGGCGTGGTAGTCGCCCGCTGATCGTTATTAATCCACTCCCGAAATATGGCTAAGTCAGCTATTAACAAATTATTGACAGAAAACCTCTACGGCATCGAGAAACTGATTTACATCCGATTAATAGACAAACACTAAATAAAGAACATTTTGCTCAATAGCTACGCATCAGCAATGCATTCTATGCCAAACTTTGCGGTTCTTAAAGGGGAATCAAGACACGAGTCGAGCGCCAAACAACAACAAGCAGCCATGTTCGTGCCAGACATCCTTGAGAAACTTGCTCTTTCACCTCGTTCAGCGCATCAGTCTCCACTTTAAATCAACAGATCTTTACTTATTTTGTACAACGAAGGTCTTTCCTAAGTTCCTGCTACCATTTCAATCTCAAGCAAGTTTTCAAAGTGAACAATTTGGTTCCTATGACTATGCAGCACGGTCGCTGTCACTGGTCGCGTGCTCTTTGACAAGTCAGCGGTCGCGCATGCTTATGCAAAAAAGACCCCTGTTAGTTCCGCGTACCAGCAGCACTCAAAGCATACCTATTTTTATGCTGAAATTGTACCTCTTTCTCGGGAAAAAAATGTTGAAAACTTGCCTTTGTTGGCATTAATTAGAGAGTACATGAACAATATCTGCCATATCGACAAAAAAAAATATCTTTAAATAAACTCTTTCTTATATGAAGCGACGATATTTTAAAGTGTGTTGCGGATATACCCTATAAGGTTGAAGAGCATTTTTGCCTGTTGATGGTAAATAAAATACAATAAAACAACGACTTTTTCATGAAACTTTAATAATTTGATAACGAAAAGTAGGTCAAAAATTCTCCTTTACATACAAAACTATAAAACGTTACAAAAAAAAAAAACTACGGCTAAAAGGTTGCGATAAAAGAAAACCAAAAAAGTGTTATATGGTGAAGGTCACCCACAGTCTCAAAATCTCAAATTTCAAATCTCAAAACTCAAATCTTTATTTTAACACGGTAAAAAAAAATTCATCAGGTTTTTTGTTACAATATAAAATACAACTACATGACAATATTTTATTACAATATTTAATAACAATAAATACGTATCTAAAGGACTGAACCTACCCGACAAACTTAATTTCGGGGAACAAACATGTCTCTCGTTTATGGAGAAAGGAAAATAAGAGACAGTAACGTTGGGACGAAACGAGACCAAGCTGAATTCAAAAGCTCATTTCATATCCATCCAAGTTCGCTCCTCGGAAAAAAAAACCGTTGCCGCGGGGCAGTGGATAAATAATGTTGTTTTGAAAGAATGGAAAACTAGCAGGCGAAAACAGTGGCGAATATTGACCAATTAGCAAGAATTGGAAGAGTTACTGGAGTCTAAGAAGCGACACGTCTCTGCTGAATTGAAGAAATATTGGAAATCCCAAGCAGTAAAACAGGCTTTGATCTTGACCATCTTCGTTTAGAAGTCATTTGGTTTCCAGACCTTTCAATCTTTTCTAAAATCAGTAAAATACTAAATATACATTTTGCCTAGTGGATAAACACAGGCGGGTGTTCGATGACATTTTTTCCGCTTTGCGGTTTTCTGTGGTTTCCGAAATGTAATTGATTGCGTCAGTTACTGCTAAAAAAAGATTCGTTATTACTCAAGGTGAGACAGTTAATTTTTCCCGATAAAACCCTATGAATCGGTGAAAAAAAAAAAAAGCGCATGTCACAAGTTTGAGCCTCGGCGTGTGCACTTCCGGTCGAGTTCACAATGGCATCAATGTCGTCTGTATTGACTGAAAGAGCTTTAAATGCATCTTTAGCCAGTTTAACGAACCGATCAAACGTTTTCTTATCCATCTTTGCTCTGGTAGAATGAGAACACCAATTTCTCAGAAGTCTTAGCTGATCAATCGCGAGTGCATAGGTTTCATCAATGTTACCGTTCGCGCTAATCACAGAGGAGTGAAACTGTCCAGAAGGATTCGGTCCCCGGGGCTTTATGTACAGTTCATCAAGTGTTTTAAGATCACCTTTGCTGTCTCGTGTAGCAAAAGACTGTGCGTAGAGGGTGAATTTACACAGCGCCGTAGCATCCCACTCCTCGTACGACTTGTTTGTTAGAAGTTTGATGCTATGTTTGTCACCTTCTTTGTTACAAAGAAATTTCCTCACAGCATTAGAGTCATCCCACTGATGCGATAACCCGTATTTCTTGTTCCACATGCGTTTGAACGTTTGACGCAACACTTTGTTAAAAACTTTCACCAGGTATTGTTTGAAGTTTTTCAAGTAACGAGCAGTCAGAGTTCAACTTGGTAATGGTACAAAGTGAAGTTAACATTTGTTCAACCCGGCGAAACTGGACATTCTACTAATTTATGAAAGATTCAAAACGTATCTTGTTAATTTTGCTTATTACTGAATCGTGCAGCGCAAAGAAACTTGCGAAGATTTTTGCGCGGCCAGTCGTTACCAAATCGCGGATCCACCCAGAAGCCACTAACATGACTTTTTAACACACTTCTTAACATTGATGAAACCTATGCCTGATTGTGGCGTAACCGGAAATAAAACAAAAAAGCCTAATGGAATGTCTTAACTGTTTTTACTGCGTTTTCTGTGCCCTATGACCTGTGCCCTGTGCCCTGTAACCTGTGACCTGACCTGTGACCTGTGACCTGCGTTTTGTACCTGCCGGCAATAGCCCGTATTTCTTGTTCCACATGCGTTTGAACATTTGACGCAAGGCTTTGGGAATTTCCACGACCACAATGGTATCAAACTTGCAATAGTTCAACCACTCATCATCAAGTAGAACCATGCTTCTTTAATGTCCAGAGATCAAAATAGCTTTCCTCGCTGAAACTAGATTCAAAACTCCGAGTTAATAATTACAATGTAAAACACGGCTGCTTACTCGGTAACTTTGTTAAACCAGCGTACAGCTCCAAAAAACTTGCGAAAATTCTTGCCTGCTAAGACCAGTATGATTTACAATGGTAGCGAGGCGCTGGTTACTGAATAAGCTCTTTATACCTTTGAGATTGTTCTTGAATCATAATACGACTGATGTATACATACCTTATTGGCTAAAAGCGACCTATAATGGACAAATTCAAGTTCGATTCCCTTTAAAACTGATCGCTGAGCTCACTGTGATGAAGGAACCAAGAAGTCGCAGTTCTTCCTCTTGCAGAACATCTCGAGTAATCTCTCGAAACTGAAAGCAGTTGCGGGAAAAACCCCACATTCCTCACAGCAAAGATCACATCCGGTTCGAAAGTGCCGAGCAAGCACAAAGATGATTAACATACGGCGACAGTCTCTTAACGACGCTTTTCATAGGAAAGCCGTTGTATTTCCCTAATTGTAACACGTCGAGTTAGATAAAGGCCAGCAGTCCACCTTCGTTCTGATCATCGCGGTCTCAACTCCAATAAATTTTTGTTGAGCGGAAATAACCGAATTCTGAGTCAATATAACTGAAAGTAAAATAGGGAAAAGCCCCGTTTGCGCTCGTGACTCGTTCCCAAACGCAGACACACTATTCATCATATTCGCTGAATAAGTGGTCTACATCTGTAGTCCGCTGACAACTTTCGAGACAGAGGGGACAAGAACTAGTGATGGATGTAAGGGACTAATGTTCTAAATAAAATCCACGAGATGCAAACGTTCATTGGTTTAGTGCGATATGATTCATTTGTTTTTATCGTTCCACCAACTTGGGGTCAAACGATTTTAACACTGAAGTGCACCTTTCAACTAAAAAAAAAAATTGGAAATGCCCCACCGGAAGGGGCAAGGCCGGGAAAATAAGCGGCACTAATGATATGCATGACAGTTGTAAGAAAAATTTAGAACTAAATAAAAAACAAATGAAAATACGTTGTGATTAATTCGCTTATTAAATAGCTAACGCATTCACATTTTAAAAAGTAAGTAATAGTTTTTAGAGGTTAGGCCCAGATTCCCTTCTATATTTGCGAAAATAAATACGGCCCGAAGGGCCGAAAATTTTTTCGGATACCGAGCAGAATTAGAGCAGAATAAGGGTGTCCGAGAAGAATTTTGACCAGAATAAGCGATTTTACGAGCAGAATTTATCCAAGCCTAACTAGCCTGCGTAGGCATGGCGGTTTTGGTTGAGCGCGCTAAATAATAAAGGAGGGCGCGGGCCAGGAGGCTGGGACGGGAGCTGCTTTCACCGCTCAGTCCCGACAAAACCACGCAAAACCGCCTTGCTACGTGGGCTAAGCACACACGAATACTAGTACATTCTATATTCCTACATGCACAACAAGAAGGACGAGTAGTAATTTTTAGACCACACCATCTTCAGAGATTATCTTTCGACACTACGCAGTTTATAATGACCTCACTATTTGCTGGAATATCTGACTGATTACTTAGTTGACCCTCAGGATCGCTCGCTATTGTAACGAAAGTGACGATAAGGATGGTAGGGAGGTTAACCAAGCCGACTATTTCCACAAGGTCCACGAGGTCCTAAAAAATGCGACATGTTTACGTATCATTGGATAAAAAAGTTAATGTCGTTAATCATATCAAGTATTAACCGAAATTACGAGCCAAACGATTTGTCTGGACTGTTTGCGAAATACGATCCCCGACTGTGCAACTTGGAAGACACGCAGGTCACGCAGGCTAGCTAGAGGGACCTTTTAGAATTTGTATCCTCTTGTCATGAAAAAGAAGCAGATCACCGCGACACAACGATGTTTTTTCATCGATTACCGCGACATGAAGTTTAAACTTACCGCACACCGCTTGGACTCTGAAAACCGCAATGCCGTACTTTGAAATAAAAATTACCGCAACACCGCACCAAAAATAACCCAATATTGCAAATCCTTAGGCCCCCTCCTTTAAAACGAAGGTTAAAGGCAACTCAGAAATGGCCTGATATGGTGTTGAAGATACTGGAAATCAACAAGGACTGCACTATTGTTTACACTGGGAGGATGCGGCGCCTATTCGAGTGAAAGCGAAATGTTTTGTAGAGTTTTAGCCTGCGAGCAAGCTCTCCATTTGGGCGAGTGAAGCGAGCCACGCGAGCGAGCGGCGAAGCCGCGAGGGGCCCCGCCCCCCGTTGTCGCGTCTCCCCTCGCGTGCCACTCGCGCGTGTACTTTTCATGATATTTCCCAAGCTCGCAGGCTTGTAGTGTTTGACAGAAGTACTCTTCGTTAATTTTTCTGATAACTATGTACAACACAATCTACCACGACTTACACCACCAACCCAAATTAATGTTTTTTTTCTTTTAATTTAAAATAGGCAACTACAAAATCTTTTTAGTTAGCTGTAGCAAAATCAATTACAAAGTTATTGCTGCTGTGTGGCGAGCCTCAGTGAAAGATTGTTTAAAAAGAGACGAGCTTTGATGGTTCTTCTTGCACTTTAGCTTTGCCAGCTACAACGCCTGATTCAATGCCGCACTCATCTTTCCCACGGAGAATCTTGAAGTAACCTTACAATGAAAAAAAAAGGGAGGTTAAGCTTGCATTTTCGCGTTTTTTTTCGGAGAGTTTAGGCAAGCGTGCAGCAAGCAAGGAGCGCCAGACACGCGCGACGAGAAAAGAAGCAGAAAAATTCGCGCGTGTCTTGCGCTCCTCGCTCGCTTTGCTCTTGCCTTCCAGAAAAAGACAACGCTTGTTATGCAGGATAAGAAAAGTTTGGGTAAATTAAAAGCTACTTTGTTAAAAAAAAAAAATCTTAAGAAAAAGTTGCTTGTTATTGAGGTAAAAAGTTCATGTCATTGCATCACAAAAATTACTTATTTTTTCTTATATAATTGAAATGTTGTCCTTTGACTGATAGTCCTAAGTGACACTCTCAGTCAAAGCGGGCCACTTCTGTAGATGTACCATTTTTTAGACGCTTATTGTTGCGGCTGGGTTCCCTGCTTCTTCTTCCTGCCTTTAGGTTATCATGTGATAAGCTGTTTTTGTACAAAGTTACTTGACGTAGTGTGGAGCGATTTCACCCGAAGTAACGACGTTTTTGAAGCCTTTCGTTGCCTTTGGTTTGGATTTGGACAACGTGTAACATCCTTGTTTTGTACAGATTGAATGGTTTCTTTGAATAAAAGTTTTAAACGTCCGTTTTCAGTGGATTTGCACCTACAGCAATTGATTGCATATACAAGTACCTCCTAGTTCAAAATCTATTTTAAGATACCATAGGCGATACACATCAAAATGCCCTGGTTGCACTACAATAATAATTATTAGCGGCGCGCCAGCGAAGCACCATGTGCAAGGAAATCTACCCATCCCAGAAAATTTGGTAATCACGTGACCTTACACCGAGCGAGCGACCGTCCGTCCGCACCACAGGCATACCAGTGCAAAATAACTCAATCAACAGGTATGGCAACCCAAATGCAACTCGAGGTTATTTTGGCGGGAAATCGCATAGCCACACGTGTCGCATCTTAAGAGTCAATGAAGACGAAAACGGAAAGTGGAAATTGTTTCTGTATCCGTGTTGTCTAAAGTATTAAGCTTAGATTTAATTGTCATGTCCACAAATTTGGAATATAGAGCAAGAGAAAGACAGAGAAAGTAGACGGCAGGCCAGCGAAGCTCAACGAGAAAAAGGGCGACAGAGGTCTAGAGCGAGAGATGAAAAAAAAAGGAGACATTTTTTGTTGGAAGAACAACATGAAAATTTTGTAGCAACGGTGACAAAATAGAAAATGCTAGCGGCCACCAATGTAAGGTAAAAATGAGCAGCAGTGAAAAAAAAGTGAACGAGAACACGTACGACATTTTCTCCAAAAAACGTGTGACTAAGAAGTTTCTGGAAGTTTCACGTTGTAGTCGTGCAAAACAACGGAAAAAAAATGTACAAAAAAAGTGTGCAGCAAGTGCAAAGTTGCTTTTTTTGCTAATTAGACCTATTGTTGTTTCTTCACCGTTCTCTTTGCCTTCGCCGCTTTAAATATAGCATTACACGATTTATATTTTGTTTGAACAAACTTTAATTATTATCGAGAGCTTCGCTTCTAGCCCCGGGCTTAGCCCTGGCCGCCTGGTTAGCTCAGTTGGGAGAGCGCCGGTCTGCTGAGCGGGAGGTCACGGGTTCGTACCCCGGCCGGACCAACATTCAGGGTCTTTAAATGACTGAGAAGAAAGTGCTGCCCTTCTAATGACATCTGCAAACGGTTAGACTTTCTAGTCTTCTCGGATAAGGACGAAAAACTGTAGGTCCCGTCTCACAGCACTTACACTTATCTGGTTCTTGTGGGACGTAAAAGAACCCACACCACTGTTCGAAAAGAGTAGGGGACGTAGACCCCGGTGTTGTGGTCAACCTTCACTCATCACATCATTCACATCATGGGTTGGGTGGGTACAGTTAGAGTATGCTCATAAATGGGCTGAGAGCGGCTGCCAGTGGCGCCAGTGCTGACGTCCAAGCTTACTGTTCACATGTTAAATGTATTGTAAGAGGGCACGTCTGTTGTCCTCTCATCCACGACTCTTCATTTCATTTCGTTAAATCTATATAATTTATTAACATGACTTGACAAATCGATTCAAATATATATAGTGCATTAACTCGACTATTACCTTTATCTCCCCAGTCTGTGTTCCAGGAATTTGCGACCAGCCTACAAGAAACAGGTAAGTTTACCTAACCAAGCTTAAACAAATACCAAAAATATCATGTCAAAAGTTTCTCACAGATACTCTGTTCATGTTGTTCTTCAGCAACACAATTAAAAATAAAAAACTGTTCTAGTGAGGCCTTAAACTGCTGTTTAAAAGTAAAATCTAAAATCAAACTTTTCGCTGATCAACGGCACATCATCCCGAAATTTAAAAATTCTGCGATGGCGACCGCCCTTTTTATCTAATCTATTGTTGCCCCACTTCCTGTTGTTGTCCTCCTTCTACCTACCCTCTCTCCCCTCCTCCCTGCCCTTTTATGGCCCTGGGCTCTGTTTCCCAAAACGGTACGGAAACTTTACGGGCCCAAAGGCATTTTAAAATCAAAACTTTGACCTTGAATGTAAATCCACACACAAAACAGCTTTGGGGACCCAAAACGTTACCGGGACTTTTGAGAAACAGGCCCCTGGGCAGAAGTTAAGTTTGTACACTTGCCACACTGCAAAACAGCCCGTATTTTAGCCTAAGTTAAGAACGCCCGCGCGTGTGGTCAAAGAAAATGCCTGGAGTGAGGGCGAAAACAGAGAGTGAGACTGTGCCCCACTTTGACACTCAACTGAGGCCCATGCGCTTTCTGCCCGCAAACAAACAAACAACAACACCAACAGAGACAGCAACTGTTTTGTAGTACAGACCCTCCTCCCCTCCCTTCTCTGATTTTTCCTGAGGGGAGGGGAGGGGAGGAAGTTCTGTACACAGGCTACTGTATTGCAGTCTATGCACTTACCAATATGGATCGCCACCCTCTACTCCCCAGCCAAGGATCTTAATAGCATGTCCTCCAAGAGCACCTCCACTAGTGTGACGATACACACCTACAATGACAAGAAAAGAAAATCAAAGAAAATGAAAAGAAATCAACATCTATAACAAGCAATATTATAATTATTACTTAAAATTGAAGGCAAGCCTTGCCTTCAATTGGACTGCTAAGGGTTGGTAATTTACAAATTTATTTGCCCAATATTACGACTAGACAAAACTAGTCTTCATCAGGGCCTAGAAAAGCTAAGTGAGAACAGAATAAACGGTTGCAGTATATAAAATAATATAAATAATTATTATAGAGTGTTTTCACTCATGTGCCCAGCATCTGTGCAAATTGATTGGAGCAAAAGAAAGCATTTGTATTAGAAAAGAGTTCAACTACCACAGGACTGATTTGGGACACCAACATGGCCGCCGTTTCATTGTTTTGGGACACCAATATGGTCGCTGTGACGTCATGTCAAAACACTCTTTATACGGTAGTATTTGCTGTTTGCTTTGGATTCAAGGAGAAACCCTTTGTGAGAGTGATCTGGGTTAACCTCTTCAAGACCCAATATCCAGTTATAAATTCTCTAAACTGGCCTATAGGCATTCCCATAGACACTAAGTTGAGAGAATTTGATAAAAGATCAAGGTTGTGCTATAAGGAAAATTGAAGGGAGCCCAATGCTCTGAACTTAGCATATGATTTGTATGAAAAATCTGAGATTTTCTACCTGCCCAAGAGCAAAAGTTTATGAATACTCTGACTGTATGATTCATTTTTGTTTGCCCTTTCTTCTCTAGCCTGCATTGCAAATGTAGTCTAATCCTGGGTAGTCCCTGTTCTAGGCTCGCTACAGACTCAACAATTACTGGAAGTGCATTTCGAAATTTTAACCCGATTGTAAAACGAACCATGGCTTTTTCAACAGGCCAACTATGGTGCATACTCAAATCCTGGCGCACAGGTGGCAGCCCAGTTAAGGCTTTGGCACTTTTTTGCAGGGGTCTTAACCAGAGTTTAGTTTCGTCTGTGGCACAGGCTATCCTTTTCCTACCAGCTAATGGGTGGCTTGTCATTTACTAATAGGAGCTTAAGCAAAGACGTTTTAAGCGACGCACGTCAATCGGAAGTGAGGCCTTCTCCCTTTTATATGTCATAACGATAACAAATTTGTATTGCTAATAGTTTCTTTTCTCTTAAAAAGACGATTTACCCAAGAGTTTCAACCAAACCCAGGGTGCAAAGAAAATCATTTTAACAGCTTGCCATTCAGGCAAGCTGAAGCTACCATTTACTAGCCCAGACGTCATTTCAACTAGCCCCAAAAACTTTTTGACTAGCAGAATTGATGTCACAGTTCTTCTATTATTCGAATTCCTCAAAAAACATAATTTACTTGCCCGTCGGGCAAGTTAAAAACAGAATTCCCTAGCTAGCCCGATAGCAAAATCGACTAGTTCCAGGCTATTAGACACTCCTTTCTTTGCACGCTGCAAACCACTGCCAAATGATGCCAAAAGTCCACTTCCGGTTGACGTCCGTCAGCTCAAAAACGCTGATGGTTAAGCTCCCTAACATAAACACATAAGAGGGGCCACCAAGAATGCATCATTTACCACTCTTGTAGCTTGGGAAGTCAGCGTACACAGTGAAGGCACCTTCCACTGGTCCATAGGTCATGATCTCTGTTTGAATCTTTTCAACCTCAGAGCTAACAGCGTAACCACTTTCTCCGTATCTCTTGTCATTTGAGTAGGTAACATTGTATCCTAAAAGGCAAAAGAAAAAACACATGAACATGTTGAGTGACTAACATGTCTTGAATGATTTAAATGACAATTAGAACAAGTTCAAAATATAGAAATTTCACGACTAGTCAGCGCAAGAACTAACAATATGGGGGTGAGTCAAACAATTTGCCACTAAAAGGTCTGTGTAGTGGTTTGCACAGGCAAGCAAAGAATCAGTGGTGGATGGGGGGATGGGGGAGGGTATGGGGGTACTCCCTATGATGGCCTATAGGAGGAGGATCAGGCACATTTTATAATTGTGAAAAAAGACAAGAAAACTTCAGGTTAACCCTTTAAGCCTTAAGAGTGATCAGCATTAAATTTCTCCTTGTAATATCAATGCTTTGTAAAACAGAGTGGTCATGAGAATTATGGACATGGTCACACAAGATGAATTTGCTTGATATTTTATCACCTTCTCCCCACTACTTCTGTAGGAAATGAATAGGGGCAACAATGATAATTCAAATTTTCATCTTAGGGTGTTAAGGGTTAAGTGATGTATTTGTATATTTTAAAAAAATTGTGCATTTACAGCTGTTAAAAGGGATGCAGTGTTCTAAACTAGTATGTGAAAGGGGTACCATTATTATCAATGGAAGGTATATCATGATAGGGGTACCAATGGTACATAAAAAGGTAAGGGATAGGAACTCGGGGAGGGGCCTCCCAGCATATAATTAGTTGAGTTTGACTTTCTAGTCTTCTCGGATGAGGATGATAAACTGTAGGCCCCGTCTGATAAGCCCTTGCACATGTAATAAATCTGTGGGATGTTAAAGAACCCGCACACTCTTTGTAAAGAGTAGGGCACGTAGTGCCCGGTGTAGTGGTCTATCTCACTTTCACACTCATGTATGTGGGCATTATTACTCATTCCTTCATTACTAATTTTGTAAACTGCACCTTAAGCAGTCTGGAAAAGTCCCCCAACCAGTGTTGTAAATTATCCCTGAAAAGCCCTGAGGGGAGTGGATAATATGATATTTACATTTACATTTACATTTACATACCTGCTTCACATTTTTTTGTACACGGAGGGGTAGGAACGATGCCACCACATGGTTTAAGATGGCCTTTCACATGGTGGTCACAAGCTTTGACCTCATATGGTTCACAACCTTTGTGTGAATCATATTGGCCTCCTGTAACAATACCACTTTTTACCCAATAATTCCTGAGGAAAAAGAAAAGAAGCTTAAAACAAAAGCATAAGGAACCCAAGGGTTGTCCAACACATTTTATGACCTAAGTCAGGTATATTTAATTAACCTCCAAATCAACTCAACAAACAGATTTGAAGTTGTCATCAATTTGTTTACTGTTCCTTTCAGTCACATGGAAACTGTTCTCTATCAACAGTTCTGTGCTTTGCTGCCATTTATCACCTTCGCAGACCCAATGTCTCTAAAAACTAAGCACTATCTGTGGCTTGAAATTGGTAGATTCAGATCCACTTTGTTCACTTTTGTTTTTAAAGCTTCATTGGCCGTCCGAAAATGCAATTTACTCAGTAGGGCTTTGAGCTATTTGAGTTTGTGCATTGACTGAAACATAAAAGGGAAAACATCTTGAGTGTATTTTCAGTTTGTATTTTAGAGACATCAATAAAGGCATCACAGGAAAAGAGCCTAATTTACAAGCTGTTTTGAACATCCCCATTTTTTATACAAGGAAAAATAAGATGCATCTTATTCATATGGCATTAAGTTCATTAATATATATATATATATATATATATATATATATATATATATATATATATATATATATATATATATATATATATGAGGCTTCCTAATCTTGGCTACATACATCTGTAATTAAAAACTGGTGTTATAAGCTGATCTAAGGGTTTCGTCTTAGCTAATATTGATGTGTGTTTTAAGGGAAAGTTTGCATCAAAATGTAATAAACCTTTTGTGTGAGAGGCAATGATCGTTAAATTTTCCATTATGGCCTGATTATGACTCACCAAGCAGCCTCTGGAAATCCACCATCACATCTGTTAAATAAGAAAGGATACTAATTAATGACTTCAGTAAAATACTGCCACTTAGACTGAAAACAACGTTATTTTTTTGTAATCTGCCTTCAACTGATTTTTTGCAAATTATGAAGTCCTTTTTATGATAATATCCTTATTTTAATATTACTTAATGTTCCAAATCTTTGTGTATATGTCTTGGCCAGCACCAACAAACCCCCTAACTGTAAGCTCTAAAAAAATAATTGTCATTTCCTGACTAGCCTGTCCTGGGCGCCACGTGTTCAGAATAAGAGGATGAGCAAGGAGATGTGAGCAGCGGAAAAACTGTGAGGGGGTTTTTTTCTTGCCCATAGTCTGACTTCATGTCACACTCCACTATCTGAATGTCTATAGAACAGGATATTGCATGACTTGATTCAATCCACATTTTTGCCCACTGTGGGAAGCTAATTCAAGGTATTAAAATATGCATGTGGAAGGGGACAGTGAATTAATTTTTCTAAAACGTTTTTCACTGGGGCCCGCAATACAGAGCCAGCTTGTTTATTGTTTATTCCTCTAACATCGCCGCTGCACACAGGCTCTACAGTTGCCTGCTCTGCATTTGACAATTGATGATGATTAAGATGTACAATGTCCCGGCAAGGTCTCTTGTTTAAAAAGGGCTTAGTTAAGGAGATTCTAGCTTGAGGGACTGGTGTACATAAGTGGAGGTATGTATTATTTACTATTTACTGACCCCATTCCACATGAAGAGCAGCATGAAAGCAAATCCTCAGCAGAAATATGGGGTGTCAGTTTGCCACCAGATGCGATGCAGATCCTGTCTGTCATTGCTTCTACAGCTCCAAATGCCTGGTAAAATGTAATGCATAATGTGTAATATTGATATAAGCTAGTACTAGGACCTGTGTGTTTACCTTTTTAGACTGACAAATAAGACAAGTAACCTAACTTGCTTACATTTTGAGTAAAAATCAAATGTCATGCATGTGCATACGAGACATTCACAGTCTACAGAGTGCCTATTTCATTAACTAACAATCTTTCAGCTGGAAATTCTCTTGAGCTAAGCTGGCAAATTTCTGCAACATTCCTTTGTCTGCATTATTGCAATTTTGGTTCCTAAAACTGATTCCAGACAAGTGTCCTCATGGCAACTGGTGGACTTCCTGGTTCCTGCCGGTGACCAGAACATCTTAGTTTCTTTTTCAAGAAATCAGCTGCTGGGTACCCTGAATTACATAGATTTAGAGCACTGGGCTCCCTTCAATTTCTCTTACTGCACGACGTTAGTCCACCAATTTGTTGGAGTCTTCTTCCATGGTTTGCAGTCTCCCTTGATGTTTCATTGGTATAAAAGAATAATGAGGCTTTCCTAACCCCTTAAATAAGTCCCTAGTGTGACCAACAACAATAATCTCCTCACAATATCGATAAATAAACAACAGAAAAGGTAATAAGAATCAATAAAATAATCATCAAAGGGAAATGCTTTGATCTTTTGTCAAATTCTCTCAACTAATTTTGTAAGGAAATGTAAGGAGATCGGTATGGAGAATTTGTATGTGGATACTGGGGCTTTTATAAAAATGCAGTTGCCAACTACAGCAAACATAATAACTTACCCAGCAGCTTCCACAGGAACCCTGATCACGAATTTCATTAAGGGATTTGCACTCTGACCACTGCTGTCTGGAATCAAATTCAGTTGGGATCTTGACAGATTCATACTCTGTCTTTTCTAAATAAAACAAAGCAAAAAGTCTTAAGTATATTCTACAGTTCAGACTTCATCAAAACAAACAGTGTAACTGAGGTCCAGCATTTCCCAAGTCAGAAAAACTGGGTTTGGACCAGTCAAAAAAGAGGTCAGTCCTATGGTTCTGATGGTTTGTGAAAACTTCAGTATTTCTTAACAAAAGTTAGAAGTGCCATACCACCGTTTTTGACCGGTACAGACTCATTTTTTTGTAGTGCAATTGTGCCTTAAGGAGGCCCTAACCTCTTTGAGAGTGGGGATGTGTGGTCTGAATTCTACATTTTTTTGTTTCACCTAATATATGAGGAAGTTACATCTCTATTAGTATTTTAATACTGCTGCATTTGCAGTGTTCTTTTTCTGAAGCAGTTTCAACTCATCTAAATTTATGTCTGTCGCCATTTGGTCTTTCACATGTCACTGTTTCAAGGCCATGTCACTTGTCAGAATTTTAACTTAACAAGGCCAAAATGCACGTTTTGCACCTACTGTCTCTGGAGAGGGACCTAATGTAATGACCGCCCTCTTAAATTCTCTGGAAATTATAAATTAAACTAAAACGAGGTAATCTAACTTCCAAATTAATAAAACTCACCTTTAAATTCTAAAATGGTGGAAGATGGTCGATCTACTTCATGCCATGTTCAAACTCACTTTACCACAACATTATACATTAGTTCTCTTATCTCATAAATGAGCGGCACGTGTGTGGAAACATTATGAACTGTGTTGTATACCTTCACCAAAAAGGAACATTTTTTTCTTGGAAAAAATGTATAATTTTATGACGACAGCTATTGATCAAACTAGCGAGAAACTAGAAGTTGTTTTATCTCTAAAATTAGTCATGCCAGGTCGTGCTCAAATTCCCAAGGCCACTGAATTTTCTTTTTCACCATTTGTTAAAAATTAAGGAAATGGTCGTGACTTAAGGACTTAAAAAGTAACTTTCTTCAAGTGTGATGTGAATTGATCAAGGGTTTACTCGCAGATGAGTCCCAGTGTTTATACCCTGCAGAATAGACTTCAGGTTTTTGGGTGCAGGAAGGTAAGCATGAGGTGGGCATGAAGCGGGAGACACAAGCGACAGGGAAAGGCTGACTTTCTTAAGAACAAGCTCTAATGGTAGTTATACAGGCTTCTCTACTTCTAAACCCTTGCCTGATTTTAGCCAAAAATTATCTTGAATTAAAACAAGTTGGGACAATGGCATGAAGCAAATCAACCACTTTCCGACGTTTTTGAATTTAAAGATGAGTGTATTATTTTAGAAGTTAGATTATATCGTGCTTTTGTATCGTTGCATTTAATTTATAATGCCCAGTGAATTTAAGAGGGGGTCAGTTTGGGTGAACTAAAATTCATGTATCAGTCAATATTCTAAGAAAGCCCACTGAGTATGTACAACCTTATCGAGGCCAGTACAGACCTTTTAAGAAAGGAAATTTGTCTTATATTTATCGCGTGATGTTTAATCGTCAGAAAATCACATGACTTCATTTCTGATTTGGTGACCCACGTCGACAATGACTAAGCGAAAATAATTATTTTTATCATGCATGCAAGCTAAGACCTGCATCGGAGATCAAACGCTTGCACCTGAATCCCTACAGCTAGCTAACCTTTCGCCCGGTCAATATTTTGTTGCGGCCTTCATGCCATATTTCTATAAACAGTGAACATAATTTGTACAACCGGTATACAAAAAAAACCTCCTCGACAAAAATGATCCAGTGTCAGATATGATCGGAGCCGCTGAAAATGCCGAATTTTTTTCAACTGGTCTTCAAAGTAGATGCAGAATGTAAGCTTACTTAACCCTTGCTAAACTTTTAAATACACTAACCTTTTAACAGCCCTAGCTTTTTAGGTCTTGGGGGAATTTTATCATCGAGTGGAACGCCGCAAAGGCCCTTGAAATGCTCAACATCGTAGCTGGCGTAATCTGGGTCAGCCTTCCACGAAGTGAAGGAGTTGATGTAATCGATGGCCTCCTTCGTCAGCGGCTCATGCAGATATTTAGCTTGGGAAGATGCGAAAAGAAGCGCCAACGAAACAAACAACAACGCCATAATTCTCGAAGATCACCACGTTCCGTGTTCCTTGAGTGTAACCTCAAGTCACAAGACTTTGGCATTTTATCCTCGGAAGTCACGAGGTCTGTATTGTGCGGAATCGGATTTCTATTTCCTAAAAAAAGCCTGTCATTTTGTGACACCTCGTCAAAAAAGGGAAATAGCATTTAAAAGCATGACCTCAACTTTGCAAATATAATATGTGCCTGAAAGTCTCTGAAAGAAACCAAAACTTGGCTTGGCTAGACGCCATGTTGCGTAATTTTCCCGCGCAGAGAAGCCAATCTAAAGCTCAGCCGTGAAAGCTCTCCCACATTTTGGCCCCTTCGCAATTCTTGAAAATTTTCTCCACTCATATCATATCATCCCTTGTATGACTTGGATCTCCAAGGTTGGGATCTTATTTAAAAGAAAAAAAGTGCCATTTAAGCAATAGAAAACGTTTTCCGTGTTTGCATAGCCTGATATAAACACGAGAGGGGTTGGGAGAATTCGAGACAGTTATGCAAACCCGAGACGAAGTCGAGGGTTTGCATAACCGTCGAGAATTCTCGCGTAATCAGTTCTTGTTTTGCAAAAAGATGCTTTGCAAAATACGGATTTTTCTCGCTTAAAATGTCAGCTTAAGCGAAGAAAAATTGACTCACCTTCTTTGTAACGATTTTCCACGTTTCAGCCGACGAAGGAATTGGTAAATAAAGTAAACTTGTCGAGTTTTGAACTCGAAAACTTTTTCAAATTCGTGCTTACGTGATTAGCGCGCGAAAAAGCCAAGCAACTTGACGCCACAACCATGTTTACATACTCTCATGCAAACACTCCTCTCGGCCAATCAGAACGCGCATACTATCTTAGTTATTTTATAAAATAATTATTTAAGGTGGAAATGGGGGGAAGAGTTTCAACTCAAGGAATGCAGACTCCCCTCCCTTGAATGAATGTATCACTTATGCACTCGACCAGCACCCATGAGATCATAAATAAAATGTTTTTAGTAGGTGGATAAGTGCTTTGAAACCAAGAAACTCTTGGTACTGCAGATGGATCACATACAACAATTACACAAGAAGATTAAAATAATTTTTCTCTCAACCATAAAATATGTTGTACCTAATTAAGATTACCTCTCATGAAGTCAACTAAACAATATGAATGACGCAGAAGGGTAGGAATCCTACCTGGGTATATAAACAATTAAGACTGGGACAAGATAGGGCCCCTCAATCAAAAATTCCTAGAAAGGATTTCCCCTCTTTTCCTCTTTTCCCTCCATTTTTCTATTTTCATTTTTCTTCATTTTTGTCAGCGGTATAACTTTTTACTGATGCGCCATTCATAACGTACCCAGACTCTTTCTGCTCTGTCTGACGGTGAAGTCTCGGTTTCAGGCAGAACGACACCGAACGTTTTGATGGCGGCGAAAGCATGTGGTGTTGTAGTGCATGGATTTCCAAGTTAAAGAGTGCTAATTTCCGAACTAAGCAACGTTTCCTAGGATAAAAACTACGTTAGCTCATTCCTCTAAAGCAACTGATGGAAAATTTTTGCGGACTTTGCAAGACTAAAGGCTTGAAAAAGCAGCTGATTTTGTTCCAGTTGAATTTAGAGGAAGCCATCTTGCTTTGTGAAAACAAGGAGGTGAGCTCCTTTTCTGGTCATCTCTTATCTTTGCAACTCTCCTTACTTTACTTTATTGCACTAAATTATTGGAGGAATATTCTTTCAGCTTAACTTTAGCTCGTGCTTTGCTTCTGTTTTGCAGTGTGTCTACCCCCTTGGTGTGTCAAGCAATGCCACCTTAATCGTAAAACGCCAAGCTTCTGAGGTTGTAAACTTTAAGCGAAAACGGAAAAAGAACTTCAAACAAGGAAAAAATGAGGTAAGACATGCATTATTGATTTACGCTACTATGCTTATAGAGAAGAAAACCTACAAACTAATTAACTTGGACGTAAAAAATACAACTTACGAGCGCAAAGTTATTGTCATGGAGCAGCTGAAAACAGCTTTAATTGAGAGTCAAACTTGTCATTGATGTGCTACTATTCAAAAGACTCGGTTTTGTGAGTGTGTTCCTTTTCTCTACTTCTAGAGAAAGCCTCTTTCTCATTGTCAATATATATGGAATTTTATTTTTTGCTTTAATTCATAAGAAGAACTTTTGTAAAATATGGACATCTTGCAATCATGCATGCTCTGTTTAAACTTCTTTCAGCTGTTCTGAAAATTATTATCTGCCAAAACAATTAAAACAATTATTGGATGTGTCTTTTTTGATATCTGTAATAATCAAGCGACTTCCGCTGATAACTCTTGCTTTGTCCTTGATTATTCTGGATGTCCTAGAAAAAAATGTTTGTTTTACTATGCATTATTTAAAAAAATAACAGGGGAAATGCAACAGTGTATAGAGAACAATTTCACTTTTATTTAAAGAGGTATCAAAGTTATAGGAATTGTGGTTAGATTTCTGTATTTGTTATGCAGACATGTTTCAGTTCTATTCATATTATACTTTTTGTCGACCATACATCTATTCATATTATACTTTTTGTGGGAAAAAGTATGAAATTGTGGCATGCATATTAATGTGTGGGATTATACAAAAATATTACTGGAAATGCCATTGATAATCGTGTTGTGTGTACTGCATGCTTCAGCTCTGATACAAAAGGTTGGGAAATATTTTTTCTTTGTTATTCACTATCACATAGTTTACTTTGCGTGAATATTGTTGAACAAAACAAAACATTCAAGAGGTATCAGCCTTGCATGCTGCCATAATAATGTTTATTTAGAATGATGCTTGTATGCCATGATGAATGTATGCTTGTATGCCATTAACTAGTAGATGAATAATTATTTGGAAACTCTGTGTAAAAAAAAGAGTCTTGCCATCATAATATAAGAAGAATGAAGAAAGAATGGCAAAAGAATGCTCTTTTTTTACCTGTGCTCCGGTACGGGTACATGTACAGGGATGTCATTAAAATTTCAAGTTGCAGGGTAAATACAACAAGTATGCAGGGAATCAAACAGCTGGGGATTTCTTTTGGTTCTATTTTTCTTCTGTTTACCTATGAAAGCAGCCAGGAGCCACGTTCATAGCAGCCAGCGGAATCTCCGTCCGCGGCTCTTAATGACAGTCCTGCACATATCTGAAAGCCTAAAACAGGCTATCTCAAGAACATTCTCATCCCCAGAGCCTCCTGGGGGCCTGAGCACGAGAACCAGGAGGCTCTGGGGACACGGGATTTGAAGTCCTAAATTTTAGGACTTCCAGTCATTTCTAATTCAGAAGTAATTGGAGGATTCTCTTTTAAAAGCTTTGAATCACCTAAATTTACAGTCATTGACACTTCTGCAAGAGCAAGTGAATGCCTCCTGGTCCTCGTGCCTCAAGAACTACAAAGTTTGTGCTCAATACAAAGTTTTAATCTTTTAATTCATGGCAAATGTGAACCTTGCACCAGTTCTAAATTGCTTGTAATTCCACAAATGACCAGCCAGGCCGAAGTTTTTGGAAAACAACTCCACAGAAAACGTGACGCTTTTGTTCATACTTCACTTTTTTTTATTGAACATTTATTTCACTTACTTTTGTTTGTTTGTACCTCAAGAACTACCCACAGTTTGTGAAGTTTAAAATTAATTATGAAGATTAACACAATGTTTATTATTATTGTCTGGGTTTACTTCAGGAAACAGAAACTGCTGCTCTGAAATTCAGATGTCTGGACAGTTACCTTCACTGGAAAAACATCAATTCTCTTTGCTGGCTACACTCTCTTCTGTCTTTAATTGTACACAATGTTACACTGTCCACTCTCGCTCACAATGTAGACTCATTATTAAGAACACTGACTGCCTCGTTCAACAAAGCACAGGAACTTTCTTCAGTTAACAGAGAGCAGGCAGAGAAAGGCTTGGAAGGTGCCAGGGAAAAAGTGTGGAAGTATTTACAGCCCAAAATGAAGTGTGAGCGTGGAGTGAATGACAGTCCTGTTACCGCATTGCCTCTTTTGTTGCGGGAAAATTGTACATTGTTGGAGAAAACTCTGCAGAATTATCAGTGGAAATTTAGTTGCTGTGTCTGTGGTTATCGTCAAGTTGACAAGTAAGGTTCAAGTGTTATCAATAGATCATTAATAGTATCCAGGTACACAGGGATGTCGCTAGGAGCTGGCTGCTGGCTAATTTCACTGGCTGAAAAAGAGCTTACCAGCGGTGTAAATTGCCCTGGAAAATAAGGACATAGGGGTGGGTGGTGTAGATGAGTAAGAAAGCCAGCTTGATTAATAAAACAGACCTTTTAAGCTTTTCCTTAGCTACATCCCTACAGGAACATATTGTACTGTAATTTTCATTTAGAACTAGGGTGACAAACTGTCTGTTGCTCTAAGACCCAATGTGCAGCTGTGTATAGCTAATTTTCTCCCGTTTAGACTACGACCATACAGTGTAATTATTATGTTTGTAGTCTGAACAAGTCAATTTCAACATTTATTAAACTTGGTGTAATGCTCTTAACTGAACCTTAGGGGTCAAGGTTTTGTTTTTCCCTCGATCGTGTTGAATTGAGCTGCAAGCATTAGCGGGGATTCTGTGACAGTGAAGTGCAACACACAATTTGGCAATGTTGAGTTGGGCTGCAAGGCTACAAAGTCATGCGAAGGCCTCATCTCCGCCACCACCTACAGCATCAGAAACAGTGGAAAAGTCTATTTGCTTTGTTCCTCTTTTGTCTTCTTGTGAATGGGTTATCTAATATCCCATTAATGGAATTACTAGTTTAGGTAGTTATGACTGTGAGCTGTAATCTTTTCATGTCTTCAATACAAAGCCAACAACACTCCTTACTTCATTTGAGGCTATACCCTGGGCCCATTTGTTCGAAGGCTGATTAGCATTAAACCAGGGTTAAATTTTACCTGGTTTTCTCTCTCTTTTGTTTTAAGGCATTTTCTGCTATAATTTTCTCTTTTCTTTTTAGAGCATCCAATTGTCAAATTGTGGGCAGAAAGACTTAAACTGGATTTGCTTATTAAGCTTTCATATCTGAATTCAAATTTAGCCGTAACCCTGAGTTATCTTAACCCTGCTAATCACATTGCATGAATGTTTGCTCTTACAGAAGGAGAAAACACTTGGTAACTTTCCCGAATGTAGCAGATGGCTTTGACCTTGAGGATCCAACATTTTTACGTCCTTGCTTCAAATGTGGTGCCCCCAAGCAGAGAAGCATGCTTGTGTATGACAGGTAAGTGAATTTTAATGCATGCAATTGCACTATGATCTGTTTATTTTACTGCGCTTTTCACAAACATGCGAACTCTGAAGTTCAAAAGCTGCCTTCACAATTGTGTTTTTCGCTGCCGTCAATCATAATTACGATCACAAGCGACGAACCTTGAAACACGGAAACACGCAGAACGGACCTTTTGAACGCGTTGAAGTAAAGTTTTGTTTCCTAAGAGGTCCGTTAAGATTGATGGCAGTGAAAAACGCAACCGTCAGTTGGCTTTTGAACTTCAGAATTGGCATGTTTGTGAAAAGCGCAGTAAGCCTCTCTTTCCTAAAAATAATTATTTAATATTATTTTTAGAGGTTACCAACATGTATGCGACCTTCATAACATCTGGGATGTGCAAGGTATAATGCATTATTGACCCAGTGTGAGGTCAAGATTGGCCAAGTTCTTTTTTGCATTTTTATTATATGGGAAAAAAGAAAACTTTTTCTTGTGGGATCAGTTTGGGAAATCTCAGGCGGGCAAGATGGGTAGCCAATCAGAATGCAGGATTCTCTTCATCTTGCCCGCTCACGGATTCATCCATATTTGAGCCATGGAGACTTGACTGGAGTTTATTTCAGATTCTGATGATGATGATGATAAAATATGTGGGGTATTTCTGCTTTCCCCAGATACCCTGAGGGACGACCATTTATTGGAGCTCATTAAATGGTATTGTTTATATGTAGGATTAGGTTTTCTGACATCATGTTTTGTCAATCTAATAGTTTTGTTTATTTCAAATGTATCTTTTTTAGTTTGATCTGGGTTTGTGCTGGTCTTTAAATGGCATTGTTTTCTGTAAGACAAAGGAACTGTAAGATTTCATTGTCACTTAGTTAAATGCAGTAGTTAAACATGTCGAATAAATTGCAAACTACTGTAAGACCACAACAAAGTATAAAATAATGCCAGTTTATTTTCACTCTGATGTACTAGTCATAAGTTAAAAAAGGATGCTGGACATACAATGTAGAAGTGATGCCATGATGCAAATGGCCTGTTTAAAAAAAAAAGAGGTGAAGAAAATTAGTACAGTAGAACCTCGATATAACAAACCCCTATTATGATGAAGTCCTCAGTATAACAAACAATATTCTCTTTACCCAAGTGATAGTAAAATAGCACAATTATGAAAGAGAACCTCAATACAATGAAACCTTGTTATAGCAAACAAATTTTTCCTTTCCCTTGGCCCTTCGTTATAATTTATCGAGGTTCCACTGTAAATGAAATTCTGATCAGTAAAATCTTTAGCAAAGGTTGTATCTTGAAAGGAATGTTGATCATGGATTTACGTTTCCTTGGCAGGATGCCCGATTGTATTTTCTTACATTTCGAACAAGGATTGCAACATCCAGGATTTGAGGACCTGGAATTGAATGCAGAAGATGGTCACTATGTGATGACACAGTTTATTCAGTACAAGAAGAATCCTGATCACTTTGTTTGCTGGACAAAAGAACCTCAAGGTATTACTGTAATTAGCACGGGCTAAGAATAATTATTGGCAGTCTGAAGGTTGCTAATGTAATTAAGTGGGCTATGGAATTGGGAAGACTTTGGACACTAAAGGCCAGTGCCTGGTTGCATAAAACACCGTAACAACTTCAACAACTTCGGGTATACGTACGTGCACTCGTAACTTAAGTTGCATTAAATAACTTAAGTGGTCCAGTAAGGGAATTTACTTAAGTGGCTGCATTTACGATTTTTGCATAAAACTTTTTTTTGCAGGAAAAATAGCACATAAATTTACAGGACCTATGTACACGTAGGTCCTGTATCCTTACTGTTTTTACTGAAAGGTTAACGAGATCTATTCTCCAGAAGCGAAAAAAGTTTATTCTTTACAAAATTTGTTCTAATGCGCTTTGTTAACCTCTGAGGTACACTTTAATGCCGCAGTTGAGAAAAAAGAACAACAATAATTTTCAGTAGACATCGAAGTGAAAATAATATCGATTGCTTGCTAATTTTATTTCAATGAGAGGCTTAAAAGTGTTCTAGACTACTAGACACTTTGTTTACACTCACCGATGGTTAGCTTAGAAAAGTAGAGTGAGTCATTAATAAAGTACCATAACAAAGTTACGTGTGCCCTTAAGTGAACCCATAAATTACCACGTAAAACAGAAACTTGTGAGATTGCTAAGTGTATTCCATGCAACACCTTTAAGTGTACCCTTAACGGATTCGTAAGTGACCTACTTAAGGTGATGTTACTCAAGACGATTCGCAATGATGATTTTTAGTGCAACACAGTGTTTCAACATTGTTTCGAATAGTTCCAACATTGTTCCAACATTGAAATGCTGACAGTGTTGCGCTAAAAATCGTTGTGAATTGTCCCGTGTAACATCACCCTTAAGTGAGCACTTAAGTGCAGATTTTATGCAGCCAGGCAGAGGTTATTTTTGCATGGGCCACTTAGAATTGAGGGAATAAATTATGCCTGAACTGTCCTCAAAGCAGTGGAGTCAATTTTTAGCCCTGTTAGGAAATCTGCAGTTCTTTATTGTTGATCCAATAGTCATCAGCTGAAAACCAAAAACAGGAAAAAACTTGACAGAGTTTTCTGGAGAGATGGATGATTTATACCACTGAAATACTGGAACATAATAATGACTTGTGTACCAATGAACCAATTAATTATTTCATTGGGGTTTTGTAGATTTTGCAAAAATCAATTTTAAGGGCATTTAGTTCTTTTTTGTAGCTGAACTTAATACAGTGCATGCAAGCATGTTTAAACATGTTTGTTCGATTTTTAATGAGTCAGTACTTTCTTTAGCATCCTTGAAGAGGTTCATGGTTGGGGAGCAAGGGATGGTGCAGTGGTGAGAGCGCTCGCCTTCTACCAATGTGGCCCGGGTTCAAATCCCCGCGTCGACACCATACGTGGGTTGAGGTTGTTGTTGGTTCCGAGAGGTTTTTTTCCTGGTACTCCGGTTTTCCCCTCTCCTCAAAAACCAATACTTCCAAATTCCAATTCGACCAGGAATCAGGTAGACGAAGAACCACTTTGTGGATGTTCTACCTCTAAATCATTGTTTATTTATTTATTCATAATTGTGGCAAAAAAAGACAAGCAAGTAAATAATGTACATTGTATATCTCACTGGATAGTAAAACTTGACAACTTTACTTCATTTTCTCTTGTCAGGAAAAAGATGGATGGAAGTGGACGACTTGAAGTCACCAGTCTGTAGATGGAGTTCTGCACTTCCTGTTATCTCTCCATCTGAAGTACACATTGCAGTATGGGAGAGGCAAAATGCATTTGTTCAATCCCCTCAGTATTCTGCAACCAGGACAATAATGACAAAAAACATTCCAAATGAGCCTGCTAATGAGGCAAAACAAACTTTTCCGGCATCAAGGACTGTATTAATGCCCTCATTAAGAACTGACAGTAACATGAACGTAATGTCTCACGGCAATGATGAGCGAGGACTTTTTTCACTGTCTCACCGGAGTGCACTGTCACGACTGCCTCCAGTATTGTTAAGAAGTCGACCGCTGTTCCATGAGTCAACCCACAAACTGGCCGTCGGGAAGTTTGAACCTTACATTCCAAGGAAGAAGAGAATAGCCAGCTATAGTTGTCCAAATTCTCCTCTTTGTGCAAAGTCAGATGCGGAAACCGGTGCAACAGCTCTTTCTAGTCCAGTGTTACCAGCACCCTTCTTAACATGGCAGGACATTAAAGAACAAAATAAGAAATTAAAAAGTGATGATTTGCAAAGTGACAGTGGTTATTCGAGTCCAGCGTCCGTTAGCTCATGCAGTAGTCTTCCTTCTTGCTCATCCAGCAATGGTGATGCGGTTGTGGATTGTTCAGAAGTTCTTAATGTGCATTCTGATGAAAAGCAAGGCTTTGGACATTGTGTTGATGCAAGATCGTCCGCAAAGGATACTTTGTCTAATTGTCATTCAAACACAGACTTGTTACAGGGAGTTT